ATTTTAGATATTTCAAAAACATTAATGTATGATTTTCATTATAACTATATGATTAAAAAGTTTAGTAAAATCAAATTATTGTATACAGATACGGATAGTTTAATATATCATATATTTACAAATGATTTTTACACTGATATAAAACCTGACCTTTCATCATACTTTGATACCTCAGATTATGATACAAATAATATTTTTGAATATCCAAAATTAAATAAAAAGAAATTAGGTTTTTTAAAGATGAAAATAATGGTAAAATCATGAAAGAATTTGTGGGTTTACGATCCAAAATGTACGCTTTTAACTTAGAGAATAAGACTATAGCCAAGGCAAAAGGGGTAAATAAATGTATCACTAAAAAGATGACAATGAATAGTTATAAGTCTTCTCTATTTAATAAAAAAGTGCAATATTATAGTATGCTTAGATTTAAATCAATTAAACACACAATTTTCACACAAAAATTAAATAAGATAGGTTTATCATATAATGACACAAAGAGACATATTTTAGATAATAATATTGAAACATTAGCTTGGGGTCATTATAAACTACGTTAAGTGTTGATAGTTTTTACTTTTATGTCTCCGTTTAAGAAAAATTTATATTGATTGTAAAATTATGATAATACTATAATATGACGTAGTTTATTACATATTTAATCATTGTTTTATTGTAAATAATTTAAGTTAATTGTTGTTTCTATTTATTTGAGGTTGAGTTAATTGTAAAATTATGATGTACTAATTGTTGTTTCTATTTATTTGAGGTTGAGTTAATTGTAAAATTATGATGTACTAATTGTGTTAGAAATAGTATACAGATAATTCTGTTTTATATAATTTTTGGAATATATATTAATTGTTTACACCAACACTTTCATTTTTTATTTCACCCCTTTGAACTTTAGACGTGTGTTATGTTTCACTTTATCCATCCGTTCACTGCTATTGTGGCAGGACCAAGTGGGTGTGGGAAGTCAAATTTTGTAACAAATTTCATAAAATCAGTTACAGAAATATGTAATTGTGATTTTAATCAGATCACATGGTGCTTTGATGAAATGCAACCATTATATAATTTACCAAATGTTAACTATCATCAAGGAATTCCAAATCTTAATATGTTTGATGGTGAAAACCCACATCTTGTTATTATTGATGATCTAATGAGAGAGTCCGATGGAAGAATTGTGGATATATTTACAAAAGGTAGTCATCACAGGAATCTTAGTGTATTTTATCTAACACAAAATTTATTTCATCAGGGTAAAGGACAAAGAGACATATCTTTAAACTCAAGTTATATAATATATTTTAAAAACCCTCGAGATAAAACTCAAATAAGATATTTAGCAAGACAAGTATCACCAGATAACCCAAAATTCATTGAAAATGCCTACAGGGATGCAACTCTAGAGGCGCATGGATATTTAATGGTAGATTTAAAACAGAATACCAATGATTTTTGTCGTATCAAGACAAATGTCTTTCCATTTAATGGTTTCTGTACAGTCTACGTCCCCACAAAAGAGTTTAAATACACCAAGAATCAAACAATTGAAATCATTGCTAAATGATGCATCGTCGACTCACAACGTATAAACATTTGCTAACCGCTTTGCATACGCTTAAACCAAAATATCAAAGAGCATTACTTAAAACGTGTGATGAAGAAGAAATTAACTGTATTTGTGAGTGTATTCATAACGTTTTACAAGGAAAAGTACCTCTTAAAGATCAGGATAAACAAAAATTGAATAAACATAAAAACATACTCCGTAAACTAGTACGTAAGTGTAAACATAAACTAAGAAAAAATATAATTATACAAAAAGGAGGGGCTTTCTTACCAACAATATTAGGTGCAATATTGAGTGGATTAGTGAGTGGACTAGCCAGTTAACATGGAAAATGCAAAGAAAATGATACTTATCGAACCTGGATTGATTGAAAAATTAAAACAAGAAAATAAGGTTAATAGTAATTTATCTCGATTAGATATTGAAATGCAAAATATTATGAATAGTAAGACGGAAGACCGAAAGAAATGGATATTATATTTACAAACACTGCAAAGATACCTTCATTTTACCGAAGAGCATCGTCAACCACTCAAATTACCAATTTATTCTGATACATCTAATGAAGATTCAAATGAGTCAAAAATTGGTTTTAAAAATAAAGATAGAGATCTAAAAACTTCAGTTGATATTGAATCTTTGCTGGAGGAGAATCGATCCATTAAAAGTAAAGAAAATGATGAAAATCCACTTTACACACCAGCTCAAATACTCAGTTTAATACCAAAAACTTATCATAAAAAAGGGCAGTTATTATTAAACTTAGTTGAAACAAGTAAAAGTAAAATACATTGGGATAACGAAGGTACAGTCATAATTGATAGTGAAAAAATTCCTGGAAGTAATATTGTTGATTTAATAAATGATTCACTAAGACCCCTAAAAAGAAGTGATCCGGTAGGGTGGGTTAGATTTGCTGAAGCATTAAAAGATATTAAAGTACCACTTACTTATATTGGAAATCCAAGGAGATGTGAGTTTATTAACCAACTTCAAGCAAAAGATCTGAACAAACCCTCTGAGATTGAAGTTCAAGAGTTTTCTACACCGTGCAGTAGAGATAAAAAGTCTACAACTAAAATACGTAAAGGACTTGAGTGGGAAAAATGGACTCCGTACTAGAAGAAATTAACAGGATTTATTATGATCCATCTAATCCCGCTGGTTTTGGTAGTATTGATAAATTATCAAAAGCCATGAAGGGTAAAATGAATAAAAAGCAAGTAAAGGAATGGTTAAAATCACAAGAAACATACACATTACATAAACCCATTCGAAAAAAATTCCCGCGTAATAGGTACATTCTATCAAATATTAATGAACTTTGGCAAGCTGATTTAAGTGATATGCGAACTTATTCTCAATATAATGATGGTTTCAAGTATATACTTTGTATTATTGATGTATTTAGTAAATATGCTTTTGCAAGACCAATGAAAAAGAAAAACTCAGAAACAACTAAAGAATGTTTTGAAAGTATATTTACTGAAAGTAATTTAACACCTACTCACATACAATCCGATAAAGGTACAGAATTTGTTTCAAAAGATGTACAAAAATACTTTAAATCCAAAAAGATTAATTACTATACCACTAACAATCCTGACATTAAGGCCAGTATTGTTGAACGATTTCAAAGAACACTAATAATGAAAATGTGGCGTTATTTCACTCATAATAATACTTATAGATATATAGATGTTTTACAAGATTTAATATACTCTTATAATCACAGCTTTCACTCTAGTATTAAGATGTGCCCATGTGATGTAAATTCCAACAATATTATGACAGTTTGGACTAATCTTTATGATAGACGGTCAAAAAAACTTTCTTTAGAAAATCCTAAACCAAATTTCAATGTGGGTGATTATGTTCGAATAACTAAATATAAACATGTATTCCAAAAAGGATATGAATCAAATTGGAGTGATGAAATATTTATTATATCTTCAATAATTGATAGATCTCCATGGGTTGTTTATACAATAACAGATTTACAAAATGAACCAATAATTGGTACTTTTTATGAAAGAGAATTACAGAAAATCACTTACAACCCCACCTCACAACATAAAATAGATAAAATAATTGACACTCGTTATTCGGGTAACAGAAAAGAAGTATTAGTGAAGTGGAAAGGTTATCCAGATAAATTTAACAGTTGGATTTTAGCTTCTAGTTTAAAAGAAATATGAATAAAGTTTCTATTTAACTTTGCTCAGCAATAGTTCAATGGAATACTTTCCTGATAACAAGACCACAAATTTTTCAACGAAATTACCAAAAGCTATAAAATTAGAAGGTGAATGGTCGGTTGGAGTTGTCGAGTTTCAATATCCATGTACCATGTTTACTGTTCAAGACCATGAAAATGTTATATACATTACAAAATCTATGTTAATGCCTAATGAAGATAAGCCATCCACAGTGTACTACAAAAAACATATTCCAGCTACCAACTATGATAACGTTGAGCATATTTTAAGAGTGTTAAATGGTATCGGAGAGAACTTGAAATTTCGCTATGATGAAATAACAAAATTTGTGTCTATTTCGGTATTGGATAAAAATATAACATCCGTAACATTATCACCCAAATTAAGTTTACAGCTAGGTTATGAACCAAATAAAAATCTCCTAGAGAGAAATTTTGGAAAGTGTCCTGCTAATTTACACTTAGGGTTACCATCTCAACTATTTCTATATTGCGACATTATCGATCCTCAGATTGTGGGTGATGTTATGACTCCTTTATTAAGAGTCATTTCATTAGATCCTACAAAATACATTTATGGTGCAAATAAAATGCACGTTTTCTCTCAACCTCACTACTTACCTGTTATGCGAAGAGAGTTCGATACGTTGGAAATAGTTATAAGATCGAGTACAGGACAAAAAATACCATTCCAGTTTGGAACCGTGTGTATTAAACTACATTTCCGAAAATTATAATAATGAATTCTCTTCGTGATCATCATAAATGTCCATATGAAAATTATTATACACATCAAGCTGGATCAGGAGTTGGAATAATTTATAAGGGTTCACCATATCAACGCGGTCATGGTATTGGGAGCTTCTTAGGGGGGTTATTCAGATCAGTTTTACCTTTACTTTCAAGTGGTGCTCGAGTGATTGGTAAGGAGGCATTAAGCGCTGGAGTAGGACTTTTATCGGATATGGTTCAAGCCCGTCCTATGGAAGCCTCAATAAAAGATCGTCTAAAGCAAGTTAGTACGAATTTAAAACGAAAGGCTGATGAGAAAATTGATCAATTTAACATGACTGGATCTGGGTATAAAACTAAAAGAAAACGATTGACATCGTTCATTCCACCATTAACTGCTAAAGTGAAAGCTGCGAAAAAACTTAGTCTAAAACCAAAAAATATCAAAGATATATTTTCAAACTAAATATGTCTTTCCTTCATAATCATTCTTGCGAGTGCGTTAAGTCTACACAAACTAGCATTGAAAATGGATTGTGGATTCATTATAAACCAATTTCATCTCTTGGTGATGATGGACCTATCGAGTTTCAAGTTCCTGGGACCGGCGATGACTACATAGATTTGTCTCATACATTACTCCACATAAAGGCAAAAGTATTAAATCAAGATTCAACTAACTTGGTATCTACTACAATAGTAGCACCTGTAAATAATTGGCTGCATTCACTTTTTAGTCAACTTGATGTTTATTTAAACCAAAAACTTGTATCACCACCTAATAATACCTATGCATATCGAGCATACATGGAAACCCTTTTAAACTATGCCCCTGCTGCTAAACAATCTCATCTTACTTGTAGTCTTTGGTATGAGGATACAGCAGGAAAAATGGATTCTACAGATGGTAAAAACATAGGATTTGTTAAAAGACAGGAATTGATTAGTGAAAGTAAGGAAATAGAAATGATTGGTCATCTTCACGGTGACATTTTTAACCAAGATAAATTTTTAATTAATGGTGTTGAAATGAGTGTTAAATTGGTTCGATCAAGAGAGAGTTTTAATTTAATTGTTGGATCAAACGATGTAAAGTTTAAAGTTTGTATTACGGACGCAACTCTTATTGTTCGACGAGCACGAATTAATCCAAGTGTATTACTCGCACATCAAAAAGTTTTAGCTTCTACCACTGCTAAATATCCTATTACTCGAGCTGAAGTAAAAGTTTTAACAATTCCTTCGGGTGTTCAAGGAAAAACTCTTGATAATATATTTTTAGGACAGGTACCGAAAAGATGTATAATTGGATTTGTGAACAATTCTGCATTTAATGGTTCCCTTACTAAAAATCCATTTAACTTTGAAAACTATGGTATTAATTCTTTCAGCTTATATATTGATGGTCAACAAATACCTTCAAAAGCTTTGCAACCATCTTTTAATAATAGCATATTTACATCAGCATATCATACTCTATTCTCGGGAACTGGTATTCACTTTCTTAATGAAGGAAATGGAATCTCTTGTGAACAGTATGGCAAAGGTTACTGTCTATTAGCATTTGACTTAACTCCTGATTTATCAGCTAACTCATCAACTCATTGGAATCTCATAAAGCATGGTAGTGTAAGAATAGAAGTACGATTTGAATCCTCATTAATACAAACAATTAACTGTATAGTTTATGCTGAGTTTGATAATATTATTGAGATAGATAAAAACAGAAATGTTACTGTAGACTATAGTAGTTAAGGTTATAATATGTGTTGTGTGTTAGATTTTATGTGTTATGTGTAATGCATTTTGTGTGTATGTAACTATGTGAAACGTTATAAAATTAAATAAAACAAATTGTATGCAATATATTTTTTTTATTTCTTTATAAATCTTCTATTTAATCTAATACAAAACACTGTTCGAGTTGAAATTTTACATAAGCACACTGACTAAACCACTGAACATGCTGCTGCCAAGGATCATCATCATCTTCCCAATCTTTTAAACCACCACCACAATGGAAACACTTGGTCCCGTCTGCATGGCCAGTATAAAAGAAACCAGCTTCGGCAAGATCTTCAGGTTTCTGTCGCATAACTAGAGGCCAGTTTTCGAAACTAAGCAAACGGCTAGATTTTGAACTGAAGAATGGATATTCAGCTCTTGAGTACTGCATACTCTTCTCGTTTTCTTCTCCACTCAGTGTTGTAGTTTTGTTATTCAATGATGTGTTTTGTACACGTATGCCACACTCATCTCTTCCTTCCGCTCTTGTCTTCCTGTAATTGAAGTAAACAGAATCACATTCACTAATGATCAGCTAATGACTGTCATTGTTAAAAAAGTATTTTTTAACTTTTTCACTTTCTGCTATTGTCTTTGTTATATTGTATACGAGGGCGTTTGTATTGTCGTAGATGCTATCCTTATTAGTCTTTACGTAATATTTAATTCTCGTGGAAGCATGTTTCCAATGATCAGTAGTTGGAATCTTGGATAGCTTCTTCATATCGTACATTTCAATTTTGATGAGATGCGCCGCTTGGTCTCCGTCGTCAGAATTAGTAGAAATGTATGATACACCATCTCTAGCGGCTCGTGCTACGGTTGATGATAACAGCTTCCTCTTTTTTATTTTTTATTCAGCTTCAAAAAAATGATCAATCGATTGCGATTTTCTTTTTCCACCATCGCATGTGTTATTATTAATGACGAGGTTATCACTCTCTTCTTGAGGGGAGAGTGGCGAGTAGTAATACTGTTTATAGGTATCTTCATCAAAGCTCAATGATTTCTGCAACAACACAGTTATCATGTTAATATCAATTTGTTAACACTTAATCATAAAAGTTAAAAAAGTTAAAGTTACAGCCTATTAAAGTCCACTGCTGAACATAGGCCTCCTCTCATTTCTGAGAGGGTTTTAGAGCAAGGAAATGTCCGCCGCGCTCCCTCAATGTGTGTTGGCGAACTTCACATGCCTTCGAAATTTTCTCAGACATGCAGGTTTCCTCACGATGTTTTCCTTCACCACCAAGCACGTGGTAATAAGCACTTAAAATTGCTATTAACAATTTAATTGGTGCTGGCGGGGATCGAACCCGGGTCGCGTACTGTGAAATTTACAGCTAGCGCTAACCATCTGAGTTACCACGGCTTAATCATATACATACACAATATTTAAATAAAATAATACACACACATGAAAATAACAGAAAAAAAGTAATTTAGTCAATAGAATAAACACTTACATCCATAGCCTTTGGTGTATTGAAGTAACACAAATGTACTATTGATAGATCCACTGTAGCCAAACGACCGTACACTAACTCGATGACTGCGTTTGTTGGTCTTATATACCACCAGTACGTAAAAATTCTAATCTAAAGTATTTCCGTAATGAGTTGATAATTACTTTATGCGTCAACCAGTTTATCTCACATTTCCGTTGCCTATCTCAACATTTCTTCGTATTGTGTTTTGTTTGGTGATCAATGACTCAAGTACGATTTGTATAACACAAAAATGGAATTTAATATTTAGAAACATATCAGTTTATCTCACATTTCCGTTGCCTATCTCAACATTTCTTCGTATTGTGTTTTGTTTGGTGATCAATGACTCAAGTACGATTTGTATATCACAAAAATGCAATTTAATATGTAGAAATCACTATAATTGACCATTCCTATGTTATTCATTGAGTAGCTAGGTACTGTAATAATCTACTAATAGCAGTAATATCATGGATACACTAGATGTACAACAACATCTGAAAAAGATTCACCCCAGTCTAGAAAATAATGTTTATGCAGCTAATAGACTGCCTATGTATACCCACGTACCAACGTATATAATATGTAATTTGGATACAGATGATAAACCAGGGTCACATTGGGTAGCTTTATATATCGATACGAATGACGTCGGTCAATATTTTGATTCATATGGACGATCACCTGTACGATATCATCTAGAGTTTTTAAAAAGGAATTGTAAAAGATGGAACTGGAATGTTGATAGGATTCAGAATGAGTGGACTTCAGTTTGTGGCGAATATTGCTTAATGTATTTACTATATAAGTTTCAAGGATGTTCAATACATAGTTTTACGAGTATATTTACAAGGAACACATTGTACAACGATATTTTAGTGGATGAGATGTTTCGCTCCTATTTTATAGATAATAATTAATAAGATTTTGTATTTTATAAATAAAAATTGTAACAAAATTATGTAATGTGTTTTATTGATGATTCAGATTAGCGTTGTATAAACAAAGAATTATAATACAATAGCACTGATATAGTCGACGCACACGCTGCAATGAAGGTGATTAAGGAACAATAGAACAATAGAAATAGGAACAATGGGACGCTAATGACGGTGGAGGCCCTTACCGGATATCAATTAGATATTAGCTAATTGATCTACACATCTCCGGAACCGTGCATTCTACACAAAAATGGACCGCGGATTCGTGATCAGAGCATGCCAAAACCTTTTTTTTTTTTTTTTTTTTTTTGTCGGATCGGGCGTCGACGAACGTCGTTGAACCACGTCTGACTCAGGTGGTCTAGAAGTGGTACAACTACACTACTTATCTTTCTATTAAGGATTGTATAATAATTATTGTACACTGTTGTGTACGCGCGAATTTGTATTTTAAAAATATAATTTTAATAAAATAGAAACGTAATTTAATATGCTGTTAAGTAATATCATACCTAAATAATAGCCGCTACTACGTTATGTTGTATGTAACTAGTAGTTACTCTAAAAGGTTTCCTTTATGAAAACTTCTTAAACCCTTTTAAGAGTACGTAAAAGAAAATAAGCTTTAGGATCTGGTGTTTAATTTTCCTTACAAGTATGACTTCTACAAGTGAAAGTGACAAACGAGTACACAGATCGCCGCACGTAAACTGCTCAATCAATTTTAATATTGAAAGCGTCCGCAGTAACGGAGGTTAAGAGGGAGCCAGTGGTAAAGCTTAAATGACTTTCAATAAGTATTCAATTCTATTAATCATTTCTTCTGGAGATTCTATACACACACACACGCACGCACTCACGCACGCACGCACGCACGCACGCACGCACGCTCGCACGCACGCAAGCACGCACGCACGCACGCACGCACGCACGCACGCACGCACGCACGCACGCACGTACGCACGCACGCACGCACACAAGCACGCACGCACGCACGCACGCACGCACGCACACACACACACACACACACATACACATATACGCATACATACATAACTTATACGCACGCACGCATGCACGCGCACACACACACATTCAAAACGTTTCGGTCAGTACCAGTAAGTTTTGACCACCGAAACGTGGAAATAATGCACGAGTAAGTTGAAATATGAACTTTGTTATATCATATCAGACCTCATTACAAAAACGTTTGTTGATGATCACGTGTCCCACTTTCGCGGACCGCATCCCTCGCTTTTCTGTTCAGTGGAGCACGCGTGACGACATGATGCTTTTCAGGTCCAATTCCTGATATCCCTACACCTTCACCGCAATTGCTGAATATAGTTATAATGATCAACGATGATTTACTATGATATAGGACGTGAATAAAAATGTTACGGGATAATATTTTATGGGATAATATTTATTTCACCAATTCGAAATGTAGTAGAATTGTTGAACGGTTTCTGTTTGATTTCTAAAATAGACCACCACATTTTTTATTTTATGTGATGCTTGTTTTCATTAAGCGCTTAATTTTCATTCCATTGTTACACGTAACATTTGAGACTTGTTTCAGTATCCTGTCACGTTCTTTTAATTATTATAATTTTACGCTTTAAAACTTCCACGCTTCACATTCTGTTTGCTTTGATATTATAGCAATGTCGCGCATTTTAGTAGGCCTTGATATAATTAGCAAAATGGAATGCTTATTTCATTTATTTTGTTTATTGGTTTTAAGTCAATATAGTTATTTGAAACATCTAAGGTGGGTCCGCCTAAAAAAGGCCGGTTACAAATAAGGTCCATCTCTTCAAACTTATCCGAATTAATACTTAAACCAAAATGGATATCGCGCTGCCACTCCCCAGTAACCAATTACAAAAGTGCACCGGCGTTCATTGCTTTCGCGGTGGCCATTTTTTCAGGGGCTCTGGGTATAACTTCAGGGGCGGCCGACGTGACTCAGTCTATAAAATATTCTGATTCAATTTTGCGTTGTATTAGTAATAAAACCCAGTCATTATGTCATAATTCTGCAAGAGTAATGTTAAAATACTTTCAGAAGGTGGATTGACGAGGTAAGCTACCAAAATTATTGCTTTTTTTATCACCATTTTGTTAGGTTTTCTCAGGACATATCTAAGTGCTTAACAAGGTCCACGATTTGTCTCAAAATAAGGGCCGGACCTTATTAGGGGCAAGCAGCTTTAAAATAGGCGTGATCAGTTACTTAAATGAATTATATAAGTGTAAATACGCAGCTGGCCTGGCAAGTGGCACTTTTGTGCGGTGATAACGACAGATCACCACGCTAGGCCATAGCTATCGCACAAAAATGCCACATATCTAGATACCTTTCCTTCCTTGTACTTCAACTAATATTGAAAAAAATAATCCAGACGCTTTCGAGTTTTATACTTAGCAACACATTTACCCATTCGTTTTTACGTAGTTTTATAAGATTTTATTTACGCAAATCAACAGTAGCTTTTGACATAAGTATTGTTCATACATAGTAGTAAAGACAAAA